TGAATGGCTTGCACTTTCTATGGGCGTGAACGTCTACTTTAATGGGTACTAGCGTACTAACTGTTTGTGGGATTACTGAACAAAAGCGTCGTTCCTAATTGCCCAGTCGAACCTGTAAAAACCATGGCCACAACTCCCCTCTAAAGTAATAAATTTCATGTCACGCAACTAGGTCAGTTTTTGCCTTAGAAATTACTTATACGTTCCTCCTTCCCTCTCTTTCCCCCAGCCAGGACAGTAGAGTACAACCGCCCTCCCCAATATAATGCTGGTATTCTTACTCTAAATTCCAGAAAGGCGCATATTCCTGTGCCCTAACCCTTACACTAACCTTAATCCAAAGTCATCCCTGAGGCAATTTCCATGGAATTGGACGCAAAGTCATCCGCATTACGGGTGTTTCTGGTTCTAGCCGTTTGCCTAATACAAGCCATCTCTGCCTTTTTGTTCGAGTCGGAAGCATTTATAACTTCGCTCTGTCCTGCTTTTCTTTCCTAACCACCGTTCTATGCTGATACTCTCATTAATTTCCCCTTACGCAGATCAGCACTGTCATATGGACACTGAACGGAACGCCATCGATAGGGTTGCTCGGCGGAAGTTAATCGTGGCTAGTTGCCTCTGTCTCTTCTTCATGATTGGTGAAGCTACAGGTGTGTAAAGTCCTCATTTACTGTGCTCCTTTCCCCCTCCTGCCCTTAGCATTAACTGTGTCCTCAAACAATAGCTACTTCCCCTACGAAGAAATTATTTAATTGTGCGAACTTTAAAGTCCGTAGGTGTTAGATCTTGGCATGCTGTTTGAAAATTTTATGACTGACAGTTGCGTTTAAGTTAATTTATAGTTACAACTAGACGTGGCCTTTAATTATACAGACTGAAAGGTTATGAAAATCCCCCGAACCTCCTCAGTCAGAAACCGTTTGCCCAAGGAAGAGAACTCACCGACAACCAGACAGCTCGTGTCGTGATAATGTTACGCTGTTTATTTTGTATGTCTAGGAGCTCGACTATTCTTTTGTCTGCCAACTAATAAATCGAGATTTCAAAAGCTAACCTGTTTTGCGATAAAGCTTAATAATCGTGTTTGTGTTTTTGAAGATACTTGAAAGGATGAAATACAAGATGTATTAGTGTGGAAATGAAATGATGAAGTTGAAAGAGCCGTACAAATTGCATGGATAAGTTTCAGATTTTGAGACCTTTATTGATGCAACTTTATCCAAGCAGTAGATAATGCAGGCTAACTCAAGCGTTTGGAAAATTATCAGAGCGTTTGATTTTCCTCAAAAATTCTGAATTCTTTTTCTGTCTTGTATTCATCAAATGTTTTCCAAAGTTTGTCAGATTAAATGAACACTTTTCATCACTCCAAAAAAAAACATGCTTTCAGTGGAATTAGCCGCAGACTCCTCCCTAATTAGGATTATGTTGTGTCAGCCTCGGGTGGTGCACTACTTTGCGTTGAGTGTGACTGGCTGATTACGGCTAATGAGCCAGCCATACTATCCGTCTAAAACCGAGCTGACTTCAGCGTTGGACCATTTTCTTCGTAAGATGCATCTAGAGCGTTTCTCGCAGCTTTCAATAAGGATTCCCAAATTCAGGGCAAATTTATTTCGTCTGTTTGATGTTCTTTTCCTACAGGTGGTGCTATCGCGCACAGTCTAGCCATCATGACGGATGCAGCACACTTGCTTACTGACTTCGCCAGTTTCCTCATCAGCCTCTTTGCCATCTACCTCGCCAGCCGACCCGCGACCAAGCGCATGAGTTTCGGATGGTACCGTGCGGGTAAGATAACTTTCACGAACTTTTTTATTATGTCCACCTTGAGAACAGTGAGCGTGAAATAAACGCAGCAAACCATACCTCATCTGGTGGGTTTTTGAAGAATACAAAGCATGTCCTTGAGCTGCCTCGCCCCTTAAAAAGTCTAAAAACTCAAGGCGGACGAAAGGTTAATGAGGAAAGAAAATAGGTGGCTAATTAAGATATGCATGCATTTTGAACTGTTTACTCCGCTTGCTCTCTTTAGTAGGCACTGTCGGTACGTCAGTTTCCGGTTATAATTACTTGTATGACGGCCTAAACAGGACACGAGAAGAGGAGCCACCTGTGACGCAGACGATTTTGCACAATTGTCGGTAAAACTAAAATTAAGTTTGCGGTTGTGTTGCATTGGATTCAGAGTAGGGTCAAGGTTAAGCTTAGAGCTATAGATTCGGTTTATACTAGGGCTAATGTCAAGCTTAGGATATGGGAGTAATCACCCCTCCTGAAATTATGCACAGAGCCATCTTTTTTACTCGGCTGGGGTGTTGTTACTCCTGCACCCTGTTTAGGGGCCGTATAGGTAATCCTCATCCAGGTTCTTTCTCCAAGTAATAAATTCTTCTGTGTCTGATTTTATCTTCGGAGTTCAAATATGCTTCCGTTGGCGCAACCCCCCTGCCTCTGTTCTCTGGCATATTGTCTGGATTAGCCGCCGTCTTTGCCATCTCTAGTCATAGCAATTAAAAAACCCTGTGGGAGAAATAACGCTTAAATTGATATTTAATGAAGATTAAACGAAAGATAAAAATACTTTTAACGCGGGTTGCATCAAAGAGTCAGATGCGCAGATTAAACGCGTAAAATAAGGGACTGGTAACGAAGCGTGCCTTTCCCTGACGTTTCAAAAACAGACAAGTTTCCGTTGTCAGAGGTAAGTGTTGTACCGCGCCTCACAGTACTTATAGGTAGGTGAAAAACAGAGTAAATGGGGGCTGTGCATTTTGCGGGAGTGGGGGGAGGGAGTGGTTTGTGGCAGTAAGGGCCCAGGGCGGTTAGTGACAGGTAACAGCCACCAGCCGGGTGTTTGTTATTCGTCCGTTTGCAGCTGCCATGAGTCCAGGGGACATGGGGGGCTACTCAATTCGTACTACTGCCTGCGGGTGACGGAGGTCTCTGGGGTCCGTCCGCTGGGTTTTTTTCTTCATACTGTGTGGCGCGGTACGACACTTACCTCTCTGTTTTTTAAACGTCAGAAAATTACAATTATGGTTCTCGAGATCGCTCTTTCTTCTCATTTACGCCCAGGAACTCGA